GTGATTTACCAAACTTAAGATTGTGGTAATTGGCTGGAAATAGTCAAATGCTAACAGAAAACAAAACGAGCTCCTGAACAACAGGAATTATTAAAACTGAATTCACAAACTCTAACATTTCCTCCCCTAAACTGGAATTGACAATATCAATCAGTTTACTTCATTCAATAGCCTCATTCCCAGCAGCTCTCGAAGTTTCACAAAGCTCTCCAACTTTAAAGGTTTGGTCATAATATCTGCAAGTTGCTCACTCGTACCACAATATTTCAATTCAACAACACCACCCTTTGTGAGATCACGTAGAAAGTGAAACCTCACATCTATATGCTTGCTTCTTCCATGTAAAACTGGGTTTTTTGACAACTTAATAGTAGATGGGTTATCACAAAACATAGTAATACACTTACTTTGAAAATGACTGAACTGATTGAGCACTCTCTTCATCCAAATAGTCTGACAGGCACAAGCCGCTGCAGCAACATATTCTGCCTCTGTTGTAGAGAGAGTTACAACCGGCTGCTTCTTCGAAGACCAAGCCACAGCTCCTCCACTCAGCATGAACACATAGCCTGATGTGCTTTTCCTTTCATCATAGTAATCGGCACAATCGATGTCCGTATCTACAACCAGCTCCATTGCACCTTCTCTTTCATAGAACACCCCAAGCTCCAAAGTTCCCTTTAGATATCGAAGCACCCTTTCAGCAGCAAGCAAGTGTTCTTCCGCTGGTCTAGCCATATATCTGCTAACAAGACACACACTATACATCAAGTCAGGTCTGGTAGCCGTCAAATACATGAGACTACCAATCATTTGTTTGAACAGAGTTGCATCGACCTTCTTCCCTGCACCTTCTCTTGTCAGCTTCGAACCTGGTACCATGGGATTCTGTACTGCATTGCAATCTCCCATACCAAATCTATCAAGAATTTCTCTGGCATATTTCTTCTGACACAAATGAATACCCTTCGAACTTTTCCGGACTTTAATACCTAGGAAATATTTCATCTTTCCTAGGTCTGTCATCTCAAACTCAAACTTCATTGAACATTTAAACTTCTCAGTCAAATAGGCATCATTACCAGTAAAGATTAAGTCATCAACATAAAGGCTTACAATATCTTCCCTCTAGCTTCTGTTTTAACAAACAAAGTGGGCTCATGATTGCATCTTTCGAAACCTTCTTGAAGAAAATAACCCTCAATCTTACTGTACCAGGCCCTTGGAGCCTGCTTTAGCCCATATAAAGCCTTCTTGAGTTTGTAAACCTTCTCTTCTTTATTTTTTTGCTCATAACCTTGCGGTTGTTCAATGAACACATCTTCCTTTAGTTCCCCATGCAAAAAGGCACTTTTAACATCAAGTTGAAACACCAACCAACCCTTTTGAGCAGCCAAGGCCAAGACCATAAGAATTGTATCCCACCGTGCCACTGGAGCAAACACCTCGTTATAGTCTATTCCATGTTTCTGAGCATATCCTTTTGCTACCGAGCGAGCTTTGCACTTATCGATCTCCCCATTCTCGTTTAGCTTGGTTTTATACACCCACTTAACACCAATCTTCTTTGCTCCAACCGGTAGATCCACCAACTCCCAGGTTTCATTTTTTACAATGGCTTTTATCTCCAAATCCATCGCATTCCTCCACTTCTCACTCTTCATAGCTCTTCATAGCATGTTGGATCTTCTTGTGAAATAAATAAAGCGAGGTTCTGCAAATTTTCTTCTTCAGACAGATTTTCCCCGCTTACATAATCTTGCTTCCACACGGGAACTCTTCTAACTCTTTCTTCATGTGAACTCAAAGAGTTATCTTCAGATGAACTAGGATTATCTTCAGAAGAACTTTGTTCGCTGCCTTCATTCAAGTCGGTTTGAGCTGGTAGATCATCTTGGTTATTCTCTTCTTCTGTACCTTCTTCGTTCTCATCAAGGCCACCAAACTCATGCTCACCTTCTTTATATTCACCATCTCCCCAATCAAGTACATCAAGCTTCACCTCTTCGTCACTCCTCCCCCAGTTCCAACTCTCATTTTCTTCAAAAACCACGTCTCTGCTGGTTACAATTTTCTTAGCAATGGGATCAAAGAGCCTATACGCTTTAGACTCGTCACTGTATCTGAGAAGTACACATTTATAACTCTTGTCATCCAGCTTTGATCTCTTATTATCTGGTATGTGAACATGACCAATGCAACCAAAAACTCGGAAATAATCAACAGTTGGCTTGATTCCACTCCAACATTCTTCTGGGGTCTTATCTTTCACCACCATAGTAGGGCTCCTGTTTAATACGTGTACTGTCCACCGAACTGCTTCTGGCCAGAATACTTTAGGTATTTGCTTCTCTGTAAGTAAGCATCGAACCATATTCATGATAGTTCGATTCCTACGTTCTGCAACCCTGTTCTGCTGAGGGGTGTACGCTGCCGTAAGCTGCCTCTTAATGCCATGAGCCTTACAAAAATTGTTAAACTTATACGAAGTGAATTCACCGCCTCGATCAGTTCTTAAGCAACAGATCCACTCCCTATCTCCTTCTCAACAAGACTTTTAAAATTATTAAATGATGTAAATGCTTCACTCTTTTCAGTAAGATAGTAACCCAATTCTTCCTACTATAATCATCAATAAAACTCAAGATATACCTCTTGTTGATGTTTGACATCGGTGTGATGGGACCGCAAATATCAGCATGTATCAATTGCAGCCTTTGTGAGGCTCTCCACTGACTTTTCTTTGGCATAGCCGTACGATGTTGCATATAGTACACACTTTATTCGCAGCTTTGAGTTGTGGCAGCCCTTTTACAAGCTGTTTATATTGCAAGGTTCTCATGCTTTTGTTGTTCAAATGGCCATATCTTCGATGCCATAGATCAGTGGTGTCTTCAGTAGTGACTTGGAGGTAGTTTGGTGTTTGTGGTTTTACGGAAGCAAGCAATACGAACATCCTATTTGTTGTCATCTGAGTATGAATTATAAGACCTTTCTTGGGATGATAGATCTTGCACGCTCCATCCTGGATTAGAATAGCCAGCCCCTTCTCTTGTAGCTGACCAACACTTAAAAGATTATTTGTGAGCTCAGGAATGTAAAATACATCAGTGACTACCTGAGTTACTCCTCCGACTTCTATCTTGATATTTCCATTTCCTATTACTAGCATCCTTGAATTGTTCCCCAACTTCACTGAATGTCGAAATTGTTAATCAAAGTCCACAAACCATTGCTTGTTTCCTGACATGTGATTCGAGCAGCCTGAATTAATAAACCAAACTTCTTCCCTCTTTGCATTGTTGAGATCAACATAAGCCATCAAAAGAAGCTCCTCTTCTTCATCCAACTCTACATAGTTTGCAGCTTTCTCCCAACTAGGGCATTCATATTGAAAATGCCCTATCTTGTGACATTTGTAGCACTCAACCCCTGCTTTGTTAAAGCCCTGCCTCCCACGACCTCTTCCTCTGCCTCTGAAAGATCCATGTCCTCTTCCTCTACCACCAACTCTTTCATCATAGGTAACCTTCAGTGCTTGCTCTTCTTCACCACTTTTACGAAACTTCTGCTCATGAACAAGCAACGAGCTCTGCAATTCATCCACGGAAAGCCTATCAATATCTTTCGACTCATCTATCGAACAAACAATGTAATTGAACTTTTCTGTAAGAGTGCGCAGGATTTTCTCAACAATCTTTACATCCGGCATATCTTCTCCAGTATTTCTCATGTCGTTGGCCATAAGCATCACCCTTGTAAAGTAATTTGTGACCGACTCTCCAGTTTTCATCTCTAGGATCTCAAACTCTCTGCGAAGGGTTTGAAGTTGAGCATGCTTCACTCTAGCATTCCCTTGATATTTTACCTTCATTGAATCCCATAGCTGCTTGGACGTCTCCTTCTGAGTGATAGTCTTCAAAATAGACTTGTCAATTGACTGGAAAAGGTAATTTTTAACCTTTAAGTCTTTCAACTTCTTCTCATCCATGCTTGTCCTCTGTGCATTTGTCAACACCGCTCCTTCAGTCGGCTCTGTATAACCTGTCTTGATAAGACTCCAGTACTCCTTTGATCTCAAGAGATTTTCCATGAGCATACTCCAGTGATCATAATCGCCATCGAACTTGGGAATGCAAGGTTGAGTGAAATTGCCCTCTTCTGCCATCTTCACACTCACTTCTTCTGTCTCTCTCTCTTTTTCCTCTCGTGTTTTTCTCTTTTTCTAATTCTCACAACCAGGCCCCGATTAGTGGCTCTGATAGCAAAATGTAAAGATAACCAGACTCACAGCAAAATAGCTTTCTGAAGCATGATTATATAAAATAACATAAGGGAACTTGGCTTATAAAGCCATTACAAAACAGAAAAAGCATAAAAATAGCCATGTGATTTACCAGACTTAAGATTGTGGTAATTGGCTGGAAATAGTCAAATACTAACAGAAAATAAAACGAGCTCCTGAACAATGGGAGTTATTAAAACTGACTTCACAAACTCTAACAAATTCATCGAGTAATGTTATTCATCCCGGGGATGAAAACACAATTTATGTGATTTTAAATGATAAGTTAAAATTTCACCAATCATTTAATGTCACATTGACGTCACGTAGACTGTGTTTTCATCCCCGTGGCTATGAATAGCAGCTCTACCGTCATTTGTGATACGGAAGCGGGGCAACGGCCATAAGTGGTGGCGCGTGTTTAGTGTACAATCTTCAGCTCTTCTTCTGTATTTTTCTCCCCTGCTTGCTGCCCCGACCCCCGCCGCCAACCTATCACACTGAGATTTCGCAAGCCAAAGAGTAAATGTCTTGCCCTCTTCCTCTGTGCGTGAGTTTTTATCAAATTCTCCAACAGTAAACCGTCATTTCGGGGTATTCAATACCAGGCTGAATTTTTTTTTTTTTTAATTAAGTATTCAAGTTTTCTTTCGTTCAAAATTTCAATCCATAAACATGCTATCTGATATTGGAAGAAGTTTCTTTATGCAGATCAATGTTGTCTGCAATATCTTCACCGAAAATTTGTATTTCTACTGTATCTTATCCAAAAATTGGAACCCCATGTCTTCCTCGAGGGCAGTTGGCTTCAACTAGGCTTCGCGCATTGGCTTCATTACCAGAACCAAATGCGGATAAAATTGAGTACACTCCATGGCTGATTGTTGGCTTGGGGAATCCAGGAAACAAGTACCATGGAACCCGGCACAATGTGAGAGCTCGTACTCTCAGTTAGTTCAATTTGTTTAATTTATTTGCATTTATGTTGTTTACTTGATTTGATTATTATTAGAGAATATTTGAACTTTTTCTTGTTCCCCTTTGAAGGGTTATGAATCTGATTATTTGTTATTTACGGGTCTTTACAAAATTAGGTTGGGTTTGAAATGATTGACCGCGTCTCTCAAGCAGAAGGCATTTTGATGAATACCATACAGTCAAAAGCATTGATTGGGATAGGTGCTTCTTTAGCCTTTTTCCAAAAGTTTGCAATTCCCTTTACCTGAGTTCCATCCACTTTATTTTTAATAATTCGTTTCGTCATCGTGACCTTTATTAATGAAGTTTTAATGCTATCAATGCAGGTTCCATTGGAGAGGTGCCAGTATTGTTGGCCAAACCTCAAACATATGTGAATTTTAACGGAGAATCAGTATGTTCTGTTGAGTGTTCTGCATTTTGCATCTTGGCTTGGAATATTATGTTTTTCCTAGTCGCTGAATAAACATATTCAATACTATGATCATAAATATTAGGTGAAGTAAAATGTCAGTGACTTTGTAGAGTTGAAGAATTTGTCCTATTTGTGTTTGCTACCGTGTAAAAGTCCATCATGGTAACATAAACATGTGACAATTGTTGCTACTCTGCATAGAATGTTCATGAAAAAAGTTAATGTTATCCTGCAAGCAAGAGCATATATTGAAATAAGTTTACCTATTTTGGTGTTTGATATAAGATGTTGTACCAATTAATTCATACTACCAACCTATCCAGCAGGTTGGTGGGGCCGTTAGCTCTGTTAATGTTTGGTATGCACAAAATTTAAATAGCAGTAGCATGGGATTTGTCTGTGTATTTTATAGCAATGAAAAACCATCTAATCCATCACTCTTTACTTAAAGGATGCATGCTTAAATATTTTAGAAGAACTTACTTTGAGTTCCTTCCTGAAGTTTCTTCTTGAATGGAAAAAACAAAAGAAAATCTGCAATTGTTTTGCGTCTGGAGTTTTATGTTTTCTACTTGAGAAATGTCCTTCCCTTGGTTACTAGTTCAAGCTGTAAATTTTATGTTTGCAAACCATCTGAGATATAACTACTTCTTTCGCAGTGGTTATCTCCTGGTGGTACACTGTTTACTGGTCCTTTTTGATGGCATATATAAGCTTCTTTGTTCAAAAATTAACTGTAAATGATATCGTCTGTCTCTTCTATATGTTTCCAGGTTGGGCCACTTGCTGCATATTATCAAGTACCCTTGCGTCACATCCTCCTGGTCAGCAATTGTTTTTAGTATAAAGTTACCATGTATATTTTTATATAATTTTTGAGTAATGAGAATAACTTATACAATTACTCCTGAGTATTCAAACTGTGCTATTTATTTGAAATTTGATATTTCTACAACTTCTGGAATGGTCAGTGCAGATGTATGATGAGATAAGCTTACCAAATGGTGTTTTGAGGCTTCAACCTAAAGGTGGACATGGACATCACAACGGGTATTATTTAGCCTAATGATGGTCTGGAAATGCTATTCAATCTTATGAATCACACGATGCTAGCCCATTAATCAATGTAGGAAATATGATGTTTTTCTAAGATTCTCCTATCTGGTTATGAACTTTGTGTCACGTTGTTAGTTGACATGGGGAACAGATAATCAACTACGATTTCTCTCTTATAAATGTGAGTGATTTTGTGCTCCCAGTAAAGAAGCCATGCAATGGCCACATGAGGAAACTTCTTTGCAATTTAGTATCTGTTAAATCGTTTTTAAAAATTTGTACATGTAGTTCCTTCTCTGCCAAAATTTTGGTCCATATTCTTTACAGTATTTATTACAAAGTTTTAGATGATTAATCGGTACTTCTTCATGTTCAGTGGACATATTTATCAAAGTGAAAAAAAAAAATTCCTCGTATGCAGCTAAGGTACCCGATCCTTGATTTCTGACATTTTGATATCGAGTCAAGTTATGTGATTAATAAAAAAGGTAAGACTGAGTGCCATTACGATGAATGAGCAAACCAGCCAAATGTGCTTATCAAGAGTTAAGACGACTTTCTTCTGTATTTCTTTTTTGTTCACCATCTCATATGAGTTTTACGTTTGAAAGTATTTATATTTCCTTCTAGCTTTTCTTTTTGTGCGTGAATTATTATAACTTTCCCCTGGCACGCATGAATTTGCATTGGAACTCAAATGACTTGGATTGAGGTTAAACTTCTGATACAAAACAGATGCATGTTCACAGACCTGTACAGGAATATGTTTTAGAACCTTTTAGCTTCTACCAGTTTCGTGCTACTCAGTCCTTGTTCTTGTTATGCTTTCATGCTAAAACATTCAGATTATGTCACAAATTGAGACTTTTGGGTTCTAACTTCTGTAACTCCACTCCCGTTCTACAACTGCATTGGTTGAATAATTAATGATCGTGAATTTCCCTGATGTCATCCAAGTTCCAGCTATCATGTTCCAATTTTTCTCATTAGTATAATATCTGCATGAAAACATAGTAAGTTTTAATGAACTCCCTTCTTAATTTTCTTCCGATCTTGGAATCACAGAGTGAAGAGTGTCATGGAGCACTTAGACGGTCGACGTGAATTTCCACGCTTTTGCATAGGTCTGTTCCTTAATCACCTTACTTGGCCGCAATAGTATACTTCCAATTTCAAACTCAAACTCAAATACATCTAATATTGCAGGCATTGGGAATCCACCTGGTACCATGGACATGAAGGCTTTTCTTCTTCAGAAATTCAGTGCCAAAGAGAGAGAACGGGTACTTCGTTTTAAATTCAGCTTACAGAGAAAATTGGAAAATGGTCGTAGTGGATCTTTTTGGCTCTTTAGTTTGTTTATATTATACATTCTATTGTACATCATAGAGACAGACACCTGTATCCTCACACATGGTTTGGATCACTTGAACTTTGCATTAGACTTTCTTCTACATTTAAATCCATTGTAGGCATGAGCCAAGAGTATTTTGAGTACAGAATTTCTAATGCTAGGACACGGAGGAATCGAGATTTTTAATCCTATAGCAAATATCACTTATCTAATCATATCCTACGCAGTCGCGCGGTTCAGTTTACATCCATGATGCCTGCTCAAAGGTCCAACTTCTATCGGCTTTATTTGCAGGTGGATGCTGCTATGGAACAAGCAGTCGAGGCTGTGAGAACGCTTGTATTAGAAGGATTTAGCAGTAGAATTACTAGGTTTAATCTTGGGCAGAAGTACAAGTACAACAAAGTTTGAATTTAGGCTTCAATTCTTTACTATTGATGAAATGAGTATTTTTATCTTTTGATAATTTTTTTTTTTTTTCATCTGGCTCAATATTAGCCATATGTAAAGCCTCAAACAGCCGTCCTACATGTAAAATGACTTTTTTATGAGTAAGTTGATAATAGCTATTTGATCAAAATTGACTTATGCTGGTTTGGTGATTTAGGCGGTCTTGATATGATGTCTCCGCATTTTCCTGCCCATGTGGGATGTAAGTCGTTGAATTCGGGAAGATTATGAGTTGGTTGGATCGAACTATGTAACCTAATGAAGAAGGCAAATCAAACCTGAAAAAGCACCTCTCCCGGCCAGCCTTGCAAGAGCGGGGTGTATTAATTAAAATAAACATGTTAATTTATTAAGGTTATTAAAATGAGTTACATTACAAAAGAATATTAGTTCAAATAAAATTTCAAATTGATCATTAAAGTATTGATGACGTTTAATTATGTTACATATCTGGTAGCTCTTTTGGTGACATGGACTCCATATCATCATCGGCACATTAAATGTGGATTTCGAATGATTGAGCATTATATCAATATCGTGTTATTACAAATCTTCCAAATAAAATCAATTCTTAATAGAAAACTTGCGATTGGCCAAAATAATAACGACGGCGACGACGAAGAAAATTGTTCGTTCAACAGTATTCAATTTTATTTTGAAAGTGTCCTAACCCTAATTTTAACAAATAATTGAAAGGTTGCAAAGGTCAACTAGAAGGAATTGGTTTAACGGCTACTATGCTGAATCTTAATCAGGTTAAAAGAGTAATAAATAATGAGTCAAAAAATACATTTATGTAGCATTATACGGTCATTATACAAACCAAAGTCCTAACATTATTTAATTTAAGTGGGACCCTCTTTAAATAGAAACGTTGGAAATCATGTTATTTTCTCCTCTCCTGCCTTTTACCATATCTTTATTAGACCGTTGGAAACTCAAATCTTTTAAAGATACAACTACTTTCAAGAATTTTTCCTCAAAATCAGACTGTCAAAGCTTCAAAAATCCTCCATCAATGGCAGAGATTAATGGCTTTCTTCTTCAACAAAACCATATTCTACAATACACCGTTCTTGATTCCAAATCGCTGCTCCTCTCCCAATTTTCTGATTCTAACCAACCACAGTTACTGCAACTCACAGCGGACAGCCTCATTATGGAGAGAGGTCCCAGATATAAGGAATACTCGGATCTCAGAGAAAAAAGACTAAGAAAAAGGGGCGTGATAGAGCCGAAAATTCCCAGAAAAGAAGAACATGTTCTGACCCCGCCAAAGAAGCAGGTTAAATTCCTAGGGAAGTCGAATTTCACCACACCACCAAAAAGGACTAAAGGGACTTCAATTTTGACTCAATCTGTGCCGGATTTTTCATCTGCTTTGAGGAAGGAGAATCGGAAACCGCCATCAATGCTGACTCCGGTGGCGGAGAAGTCCTTGACACCACCGGCAGGGGCAAAGAGTTGGGGGCTTTATGGGAAATTGGGAGGCGAGAGTAAGTCGGTGAATTCCAGTGAGAAGAGGAGTGGTGGAATTATGACCAGGAAGAGCCATGCGAGTATGGGGGAACTGAAAGGATTCGGTACTGCTGCTAATAACGCTACCAATGAAGGAAACAGGGGAGGGAGAATCGGTAGAACTCTTTTTGGGCAAAGACAGTTTTGAGTTCAGAAATTAGGACTTTCTTAATGTGAGAACTACTGATATTTCTCTCAAGATCGACTTTATTTGGTTTAACTTTAGTATTTGATTCTGAATATTTTTTATTCCATTACAATCAGAGCTTTGGCTTGAGAATTTCTGTGTGTATTCATTTGTAAAGAGTGGAATGTGTTTTTGATTAAAGAATTGAATTGATGAATCTTTTTTCTTGTACAGCCTCCTCTTGAGTTTTTTGCTTTATAAATTCCTGTGGAAATTTCTTGTTTTTGCATTAACAAACTAAACTTCATAGTAAATTCGAAATCAACTACAAGAATCATTGCTAAATTTACTGAAACATCTTAGCAACTAAACAGTTTTCCATTTGTCAAGGAAAAGAAAATAAGCAAATAGAAAGAAAAGAATGGGAACTTGAGACAGTCTGTTAACACCAGCAACTATAAAATACACAGCTTGTACAAAGAGACCCCATCTTCCTTTAACTACAGAGGAATGGTAGCAGAATGCTGCATAGTTATAGAGAAATTGAGAAAATTAGTGAAAGCCATGTGCAATCGACAGGGAATTCGGCCTGCAGTTCCAAAGTTCTACAACGATCTCATCAACTAAAATCTGGAACAGGTGCATGCCAATTTGAATGCCAATTTCAAATTTTTCGACATCAAAATCTGTCCATTGGCCTAATGAATCACTCATTTCCTTCTCTATCAACTCATCATATATCAAAACAGATGACTCTCCCCACCTTCTGACCTCCTCCACAATATGAAAAATCAACATCTCCGTGTTCACAAAAAATGGCAATTTCGTCGAGACTTTATACCTGGATTTAGCATATTGACCGAATCTCGAGTCCAAGAATTCTATGACAGAATCAAAAGTAAATCTTCTCAGTTGATTCACCTCTTTCCCGTCCTCAATGTTAAGAAAGCAATCAAGATTCATCTGGAGAACACTTGCTAGTGTTTCAAGCTGGTCAAGGAACAAGTTTTTAATTGAAATACCTTGCCTTGCAATTGAGCCTGGGGGAGTTGCATTTCCAAACACCAACTCAGCATTCAAAAGAACCTTTTTTGCATAGTCGAGCATGCTTTCTCTTAAACCACAATTATCAAATTCCATACAGCATAAAACTTCCGAAATATTTTTGTGGACATCAATAATGTACTCTCTACTACTCTTTGCTGTCTTTACAGTGGTTGCAGAATCTAAAAGGTCAATGTCACGGCAAAGAGACTGTGGATCATCATAGGAGCAATCCAAAGTTTCAGTGAGCATTTTATACCCTGAATTGAAATAGTAGTAGCCAATATTAGAATATAAGGATAGTAACAGTATTTATAAGTGCAATAAGGGGACTTTTAGTCATCACAAGCAACAAAATCAAAACAGAGATGCTAACCGGAGCTATCATACATACTGCTAGAGAGACAACTCTCGTTGGAAAAAGAAGCCTCAAGAACAGATCCTGGGCTAAGGTGTTCACTATCAGGCGGACAGTCAACCAACAACTCAGCTGTCTTTTCTTTGACCTAAGGAGACGTCAAATTGATTACTTAGGATTCAAATATTAGCCATCAAGCCAAATATAATTAACATGGCAATAAAAATTGATACTGCAGAATAAGATCAAAAATGACTAAATGGGCAAAGCATGAATGCAAGATAGAAGCCAATTTATTTTAGTGGCTCAATGAACCAAAATGCAAACTAGACAAGACAGAAATGCTCGAAATCCACTTGTAATGAAAAAAATAAGCTCGTGTAATTTACATTTTCACAGTGATAACTTTCAAAGTAGAAACAAGGCTTGCCATGCCAATCTGTAAAAAATGACTGAACTGTTTTAGCAGATTCTTAAACTAACAGTAAATGACCTGACACTCGGAAACTTTCACTTAGTTGAATCCCCAAATTCACCCAAAAAAAAAAAACTGATAGAAGTGCATAATTTATTACACAAGCATATTTGTTCTCATCCTCACCTAAAAATCGTTCATGGGGGTTTTGTGCTGAAGGTGGAGGGAAGAAACAAATTCACTAAGTGAACTGTGGTTGATAAAGCATGCCATCTCTTTCCAAGTGGAATGGCGCCTTGTCCTAAGCCACGTTCTTTGGGCTCAGTGACTATTTTTTTTGAAGGTTATTGATATTTATGCAGGACCAATGAAAGATGGAAATTGTTGTACATACGCTTCAATTCAGAGTAGTGAGAATTTGTCCTTATTTCAATCCAGCAGGTTTGAATCTCATTGAATAGACATTCAAATATCCTTATTGCTCGCTAAGTTAAGTTGTCAGCAAATAAAATGACATTGACTGACCTGGGAATTGTCTAATATTTTTGAGTAGGATATAGCACCACAATCACGAGAATCACTTTTCCCGTTAGATGTAGCAGCCGAGTTATCATGTCGAAACACTCTCTCTGAAGTCAAGGCAGAAATTAACTCCTGGAGAATCATAGCTGTGGTCCTTCGGGGGGCATTCCCACCTATTCTCATCTCATCCTCCCCTTGGAGATTCAATTCCTGCAACTTTTGTTCCAGAAGTGCACTTAATGCATCTCCACTCAAATGAAATGGTTTTTTATACTTTCTATTTTCATCATTTTCATTTAATGCAAATTTTTGTGAAGTGGTCTCGTCGCTTGAATCATTTTGAATCCTTCTTTCCACAACACCCGCATGAATTCCAATGCCCTGTTTCACTGGAGAGTTAACCATCAATAAAACATCACTATCCACCTTCCTAACACCAACTGTTCTTCTATCTTGATGAAGATCCAATCTATTTTTGCTTTGGCGGTTAATGGATTGAACATTACATTCCATCTCTTGTCTACTCATTACATGAGCACCAGTATAAGTTTGTTTGTTGAAAGAAATTGTGAAACCGGGACTTGCACTTTCTCTTGTGATATTAATTGGCCTTCTCTTTCGCACTGGTAATATGGAATCATTCTGCCCGTGACCAGCTCTCCTCTCCATTTCAAATTTGCCATTATCAGCTCCAGTGGAGAGCCCAGGTTTCCTACGCCCACTTAAGCTTCGATAATTAAAAACAAAATCCTTCGTCTCATCTGCGTCAATTGATGCTGAGGCTTTGTTGTTCAACTGACCATTGTACTTTGACCTTGGAGGAAGTCTATTTCTCGCCTGTGGCATCTGATTTTGGCTCCGAGTCCTGTAACTAAAACCATCAGAGAGAGGCATGTCCTTCTGAGGCTTGCACTGTTGGCTTCTCAAATTCCACATCGTTTCTCCACTTAAAGGATTCCTCTTTGATGAAAATGCACCACGAGGTTGAAATCTTTTTTCGGCTGAACCTGCAGTTACTGGGCATTCCTCTAGAACCTCCTCAAATGTTGGCATTCCTGGGCTGCTCCTTTCTGACCTTTGACAAGAGGCTTCAACATGATGTGAGAAACCCGAAGTAAAAATCATCGGCCGTTCATCTACACTTGATTCAGAATCCAACTTATCTAGCAAATGCCCACAAGTTCTGCAAGAAGATTGCACCTTTGGCTGCTGAGTAACACGGTAGTTAGAATCTTCCACTTGGCTTGGTAAAAAATCTGTCGTTATCCCCGAAAAAGTTTCTCCTTTAGAAGAATTGTGCAAGGTATTTGAATATGCAAGGGCACGTTTTGACCTACTCCTTGCCAACCCAGGTTCCAGAATTCTAGTTGCCGCACCAATTATTCTAGATGCATTTTTCCCTGAAAGAGTTCTGGGACTTTTCACTGGAGAAGTAAGTTTTGGAGGAAGCTTTCTTGATCTTGATAAAACGTTTGTAAAATGCAATACCTCGGCCCCCATTCTAGCTACCTCACATGACCCGGTCTTCAGAAGCTTTTGAGGCCTCAATTCATTTTTACTCCCTCCTTTTTCCACATTCACTTTATCCCCCTTGTACCCACAAATTTTATCCTCAATTTTCTCTGCTTTATCATTCCCATTTCCTGAAAACGATGTTTTCTTCGACTTCTCTTTCTGTAATGCCGGCATGGACTCCAGACCCATAAGCCTGGCAACCAGACCTGGAGCTCGCATTTCACGCCTTTGCTCAAGATCAACTTTACTAACCCCACACGTTTTCCTTGAGCTAGGAAATCCCCCACTATTCTCATCAGCAATCTATATCATTCACACACAATAAAAGAAACATCCCAAAGCTTAAAACTCCATTTATTAAAAACAGAAGACAACTATTTAGTATGCAGAAACAAAACAAAGCATGATGCATACCAAACGAAGCTTCGGCTGATTCTCATCTCCACCAAATTTGTTCGAAGCTTGTTTCAAGCGAACTGAGAAAAATGCAACATAAAGACCAGATCTGATTTGCAACATAATGCCAATATGGTTTGCCAAATTTCTAAAAAGAAAACAGAGCAATGGCAAAAAACAAACCTGGTGGAAGCAATTTCTTGGAAAAGAACTTCTTTTTTGCAAATCTACGGTTCCAGTCAAAGAGCTGAAAGAAAATGCCCACACATCCTCCTAGTTTTTGAGGCTTTTTCTCTACAATAGCCAAAGAAGACGCTGTTTTTTCCAATCTGTCGCTCATTCTATCAATGTTTTCCCAAAACCCCTCTTGAATCAATTTATCTCTTCCCCACAGAACCAAGCATTTTAGTTCAAAGGCAACAAAATAACCCGGAAAAACCTTTTAAACAAATGCTCAATAAAAATCCTAAAAAAACAACTCTCCTTTTAGCAGTCGCGTCTTTTTCTCTATCTCCCAAGAAACAGAGTCGAAAGGCGTAGGAAAAATTACCCAAAGGGAACAAGGCTGTGGCCATGCGCAAGCAACTTTGACAAGAGAAGCCAGTTAGAAGTAGAAAAAAATGAAAAAAACTAATATGTAATAACAGTACTATTATTCAGCTCAGGTCACGCAATGAGATACTATTCAAACATACAAGTCTGAAAACTGACGGCAAATGCACAGAGAGCGAAAAAGACGTAAAAAAAAGATTGGATTTTGTTTTTGGAGTGATTATCAAATCAATGTCTAAAAAGCATAATCATCTAAAAACACTTGTATAAAGATTCTCGGTAATTAATACAAGAATAGAAGTATTTTTTCTCTGTTTGGGGAACCCAATAAAATGAAAATGAAGCTTAACTGGGTTTGTTCTTCTGTGAATGGCAGCTGAAAATGATGTACTGTGAAAACGGCTGCTGCTCTGTCACTGATTTTTCTTTTCTTTTTCACTGTGTGGTGAGGTGGGGATGCATGGTGCATAGGATAAGATAGCAACTCCATGTATCAACATTAGCATTAATATTTTCTCGTATTTTGTTAAAATAATTTTTTCAACAAAAATAATTCACTATAAGTATAGAAATAATTATTTATTAAAATGAACTATATTCAATTTGTAAAATTTTATAGATATCATCAGCTCGTGCAATAAGGTCTTGAGTTAAGTCACGCAAATAATTCTAGCGACGTATTTAATTTTCTCAATTAATTTTGGAACATTGAATATACCATCAGTATGAAGTCAAAAAAAGATGAAGGTGACATGAAGTTATCATATTTCTTATGTATTACAAAAAATGCATTCCAAGTTAATGCACGCATTAAAAAATTATGCAGCATTTCTTAATTCTTATAACCTTTTTCGAAAAAATCAACCCTATTGAGAAGTCATGTTCCAACTAAAAATTTCTATTTATTAATAAAAATTATATTTTTTATTCCTATCAAAAAAGTGTTTAGACTTAAGAAATGTAAAAAGATGAAAAACAGGGAACTGAAGTGTTTTGCGAGACTGCGAGTGACATCGAGTCTACGACTCTCTGCTATCTTGCACCGTTGCGTAGTTTTGGAGCGTTTATTTAGAGATAATCGATGCGGAATACTCCAGCACGTATATTCACTCTCTACGATTTTCAAACGCAATAGACTTTTGAGGAAAATGTGCCGAAGAAAATGCGCGCGTGCAGTAAAGAGTAAATTTTTGAGCTTAGCAAATTTTGATAAAAATTGATGAAATTTATAATTGAAAAAAATTATAGATATTATGAAATATGTGAATAAAATTAATAGTTGACTTTAACTCTGATAAAAATTCAGATTTTAATTTTATCGAACATAGGGCATAATATTGGGCTAGTAGCAGGGGCGGACACAGCACTTGGCCAGCCACCGTGGCCGCCTGTGCTGGATTCATCGGGAGCTTTAGTTCAATTAGTCGTCGTCGCCATCCATCGGAAAATGAAGAAGAAGCCCAGAAATTTTTTTTTTCCCTTTGTTATTGTTCATTTGTTTGGCCCTTATTTTTTTAGCCTGATTGACGAGACCGGTAGACGATGGTGGTCTGGTGGACACGACGCCTAACTCGGTGAGTGGTTTTCGTTCGGTTTCTACTTTCAATCTCTGTTTTTTTTCTTTTTAGTTTTTATGAATTTGTGATTTATGAATTGTGAGAAATGAGAATTTATGTTGTATTATTGTCTGAGACTATGAGTTTATGAGTTATAATTTTAATTTGTGATTTGGGAAATTAGGAATAAGTGAAAAAAATTAATGGAGAAGATGTTGAGCTCAATTAAACTGTGTGTACACTGATTTTAAATCAATTTTAATTTGAAAAATAAATCCGGTGGACGCTACACTTGACTCGGTCAACGATCATCTATTAACAGTCATCAGTCTTCGCCCTAACTGAACTACAATGTTGAATTCGCCCCTGGTTAGTAGGCGTGTTAACTAGCTCATCTGCTCCTACGAGTTAGCTATGCAAGCCAGCTGCTCACGAATAGTTTACTACAAATTTGTCAAAAATGAGTAAGGTGTCATTTCAACCGGAAAGAAAAATTTGGCAAGTCATAGCCAAGTCGAGCTTTGACAATAGAGAAGCTGAGATGCTTAGCTCATCCCATGTAATACCCTTATACGCTTGGTTCTTCCCATGTAACACCCATATAAATGAGTAGGATATTGATTATTTATTTGCTTAACAACAAGGAATAAAATGTCCAAAATTTAAAATATATATATATATATATAAAATGGTCATCTTTATTCACAATTTGGCTTAAAGTTGGTTGGTAATAAATCAGTTTCAATTATGAAATCATTGTTTGTTGATTAAAGTTGTATGTCCTGTCCCTCATATTTGAAACTGGTGGGGGACGGCACGTAATTACGGTGCTTTGAGATTTAAAGTTCATTATCGTAACTTTACTCCAATGAACAATAATGTAAACATATAGCATCGATTGGGATCCATCTAAGTAATTGAATTCAATGCTTGATCAAGGCAATAAATTCATTGTCGTAATTAATAGCGAGATCACATTTTAATCTATATCAAACAAGAGCTAAGCATGTACGATGGCATCACCAATTTATATAAGAATAATGTTATTTATCATTATGGTGATGTGACATTCTATGTGAAATTATTCGACCGACTAGTTCAATTTTTATGAGAGCAGGGGGGAAGAGAGAGAAAGAGATGTAAGGGATAATGAATTGTTATATTATCGATATTCCATCGTCATGATAATAAATAGTATTACTCTATAAGTGCTGTAAATATAATATTTTATTTCCAATTTATTGGGAGGATTTAATGGGTCTCAAACAAACTAAAGAAAATAAAATGTATGATAGAATTTAAGAAATGAAAATCATACTCTCAAAACTCAACTTCCATAATTCAAAGTTTTTGTGATAATGAAAGGTTACAAACAATGTTCCAAACTTAGCGCCAAGGCGTGAGGCGAGACCAAAACGTCAAGCCTAATGAGTTAGCGTCTTATTTGGCGGTCAACGACAGTTGTTGACCGCTAAGCGCACTTTTTTTTTTTTTAACAATTCTTTTGAAATTAAAAATTATTAAACGTTAATTTCTTCAATTTGCCCTAATTTAAAATTAAAACAACCATTTGAACCCAAAAATCAAGTGACCATCGAATCCTATTTACTGTCGATAATTTCTTAAGACACTCGAGTTATTAAAAAAAATTATTTACTTATCGAATTTGAACCAACGTTCAAAAATAAAAATGCACTCTCTCGAAGAAGATTTAGTATCAGAAGACACGGATGATGTATTAGATGAAGAATATGTTATTGAATTGGAGTCCGATAGAGAGTTAGATAAAATTTAAGTTCATGTGCTATTTACTTACTATTTTATATTTAAATTTGAAGCTTATATTTTTGTTGGAAATTTTGAAAAAATGTATAGAGTTCCTATAAATTTGTTTTAAATTTTTAGTAACTATTATTTTTAATCGATTAAAAATTAAAATAAGAAAACGTCTTTTTACGTTTTTTACGCATATGCCTCGCCTAAGTTCGTCTAATCCTGGGCTTGACCTCCACGCATCGCCACGTATTACGCCTTTTAGAACACTAACTACAAATGAGCATCATTTTTATACTACATTTCGTACATAGGAATTAATTATTAATACATGAATTCAAACCTCTATTAACATTTCTACATACATGAATAGAAATAAATTCATTTATAATAACTCTAAATTCATATAGATCAAAATTCAACAAATAAAAATTCATTGAGTCAAAATTAATGTGAATGTTAATTAATTGAGAATTAATAATACGAAATGCATACGTCACAAGGATTTTGTAGTATTTATTACATATTGAAAAACGAGAAGTACGATATTATTGAAATAATTGAATTGTAGTAAGATTAGAATCGTCAAAAAAATTATTTTCACTTGATGTGATATTTAATATATTATAGATTAATAATTTTGGAACAAAATAAAAATATTAACAAATACTAAATAAGATCATTTTTATTTTCTTAAATATTGTTCATTGTATTTAGTTTCTCGTTTTTTTATCTAACAGTTTTAATATTTGTATAACCAAGTAAAATTCATGAATCTACTTATTTTTTCCAAAAAGAGACATTATTTCAGGATCATTTAACCAACCAAAAAACTCAAAGGTGTACATATATCAACAATGACTGATAAAATTATTGAGTCAGGAAGGCATCATAGTCGAATCATAAGCATTTTGTATCGAAACATTAATAATTATTTATTACATGTTACTTATTATGAATTTTATTGTCACGATTTTTTCTAAATTATTTATTACATGTAACGATTTGTCAAACATATCAATATGCGCCTAGCTAGGGACAACTTCACGCCTTGCCTGGATTTCTCCAACGTATATTTATAGGTAAGATGATTGTCACCCTCTTTAACGTATAAAATTTAATAGTTTCTTGATACCTTACTCAAACATTTCTTTCGAAAATGTGGACCATTTTCATTCGTTCTACACGTATACTGGTCATCATTGTGTATGAGTCTTGCCTTTAACGTATAAATCAAGTCTTATAACCAGATATGGTAGCCAATTAAGGATCGTAAATACAATTCTACACATAAAAAACCAAAAAAAACACCATAAAATTAAAGATGACATATGGAAAAATAGAAATTACTGGCACATTGAATGTTTAGAGCTTCTGGAGTCGATCAGATTATGATGTAGCTGAAAAGTCAATAAAAATTTATGTTAAAGTCAATAATAAATTTCTACCATAAATTTTATGGAATTCATAACATTTATTAATTTTACGATTACACACTTCATCAGCAAAACCAAACAAGCACTTATTCTCTTAACTGAAAAATAAAGCTCTAACAAATCATTCTCCATACAAAGAAAAAGGGCTAAAATATTACTATACATACATGAGTGAGCATACATAAAACAAAAGCATGAAAAATAAAATCCATCTAATAAGACATAACTTGAAAGCAAATGTTGCCTGTTTTCTGTCACACAGAAAGCTGCATGCATGTGGCTTGAATAATTGCATGCCTAGGCCCCATTACCCCTCCTTCGTTAATACGTGTTTGATATGTAATATTAGATAAGACTCGTTGTCTAAATCGTGTTTCATTAGCCTGAACAAATGACAAATTAACCAAGAACCACACAAAATAAAAGAAATTCAAACCTGTCACAGTGTTTCAAGAATTGAGAAACTGTAATCACTTCTTTTTGTTTTTGTTTTTGTCCTTGCCACCAGAAAAAATGGAACTGAATCCGAAGAGATTTGCTGGAGGAACATTAAGAACTGGATTAATTCTAATCCCATTAATGTTGGCATAAGTTTTCTTCAATGGAGGCCTTTGGTGAGTAGTATTTGAATTTGGTGATATAGATTGTGATTGTTTCACTGAAGAACGCTTACTGTTTGATGCTGAACCTGTTGAATTACTTCTCGATAAAATTGGCAAAGGACATAATGTTCTAGCATAACCACTGCCACAATTTAAACTTGTACTCCGCTTGAACCGCCAAAATGACTTGGAAGAATTTTGCTTTTCATCTGATTCTGTAGTAATTTTCTTCAAGCTCTTGCTAGATTTGAGAATGTGATCGTAGACTGGTGAAGGAAGAGGAGGTGGTAGTGGTGGTGAAACCTGTGGCGCTGCCCTTTTTGACGGTGCAGCCGGGGCCAGCCTTTTCTTGATTTCAATGGGAAGTATCTTTCCGTCGAAGAAAAGTTCATCGGCCGAGGAAGATTCTTGCATGAAACTTTCCCTAAAAACACAAAAATCAAAATCCACACTTGATGATGAACTTGATCCAATGTATTGTTCGACTGGTACAACATCTGTTTGAGAAAGATCGTGAGAAAATGAGATTCTGGGGCTCGGTCCCAGACTCGGACTATCTGGAAAAACTTCAATCGCCATTGCTTAGCAGATTTTCTTGACTAAATTATGACCCAAAGTCTGGTTTTATAATTCAATTCACAAAACAAGCATTGATAATGAAATAACTTTTAAGAATTTAAAGACCAGAATAAAGAACCCAACCGTCAAACTGGACTATTTGCATGGAAGTTTGATTTTTTGGGAAAAGTACTTCGAATCAAGAACCGACGCACGACAAATTATGAGTAGAACATGGGATTTTGAAGAAAACTTGAAGATTGAAGAACATTATTTAGATAAGTGACTTATAAGCTGTTTGAATAAGATTTTTAAAGGCGACGTGGGGAGAAGAAACTAGATTTTATTAAGATTTTTAAGTGTGTGTGAATTGAAGGAATGGAAAATTTGAGAAAGCTGTCGTTGAAAAGGGACCAAGGGTTCAACAATCAGCAGCGTGTTTTTGCTTAGTGCTGAAATGGGACATAATACAGACATTATTGAATTACATGTGATAAAAACAAACCAAAAAAAGTTATGTGGAACCATTCGTATATATCTAGCAAGTAGCCCACTTATATATAGAACGAAATTTTATTTCGTAATAAATAATTGGACAAACTCAGCTTGTATAGCGTGGGAGGGATGATTCTGTTGAACTCGTAGCTCAAATGATAATGTGTCGATTTTAATCGTGACATGATCGGCCAAAGCGAGTCTTCTTTTACATTTTCATGAGAAAGATATCCTTTAACAATAAATGTTCTGTAATATTAACACATGTAAGTGATCACATTTCTCATGAGCTTTCTAAGCAAGTTCAGTGTATCTTTCAATTGACATAATTTTCTTATAAGTCGTTTTCTAAAAGAAAAAATTGAATGAACTAGTTTGGACTTTGGAGCGCTCGTACTCAGACGTATTTGTAATTTTCAACTCTGTAGGAGGACTAAAACTCTTTCATTGCAGGACCATTGTTAAAAAAGTAAAGGTCCCAAAACTTACATGCACTGTTGCATTAGTTGGTACTAGGCCAACTGTATAGCATAGAGGGAGCAGCATTGGGGTAAATGTTATCAATTATATTAAGGACCACCACACTTACAAACATTATAAATACATGTAAGATATATATATATATATATATATATAT